TGACAATTTTCCTTTTAACTATGTTATATATAGGTATTACTGCCGTTTGAATTTTTAATAACGACCGTTTAGTCAGTAGAGGTCGGTCACTTGACTCTAACAAAATTAAGCTCTTTAGAGCACAATAAGTCACAAATAAGTTTACTTAATCGAAAAACGTCCCAGCCCAATATTATTGAAAAACCGCGCAGTTTTTGGAACTGCGTATTATGTACACTTAATTGTGCCTGTTTTGCGAATGCTGGACCGTATATGTATTATTACAGCCACCAGGAAAGCTCCTTACACATTTACGCCGTTGATGACCATCTGGAGGTAGTCGCTCATTTTGTTATATTCCTGCAGGATGTGAGTGGCGGTTATTAATTATATGCGTTTCACCTGTTGCGTAAAATGCTCCTTTGAAATTTCTGTAATAATTTTGTTAGGAGAAATACCTATATACGCCTTTCTTTTATGGTTTCACAACAAAATAACCAGAAATAATATACGAACAGAAAAATATCTCACATTAACACATTTCTCGTTTTATGATCGCTAACCAGCATTTAGCAGAAACCGAAGATTTATGCTTTCCCGTTTTAAATAATGAAAAAATATATTAATACTTATTTTATTCAAGTTTCAAGCTCAATATCAACGCGTAAACAGTATTTTGTACGTTGTCATTATACACTGTTTGATAAATGATCCGTCTTAAGCTTTCTACTCCATCGTTTATTAGACTTTAGTTCGACTCGGATGTATACTGGGGACAGTAATGTGCGGTAATTTATTGAATTGCTAGAATTAAATGATCAGATTTACCCACGAGTGTCATCCTAATGTATACTTGTCAAGCAAAAAGCCTGATTTGGCCGGTATTAATATTTTTTTATTCATACCTGTTTTAAATTAAGGAAACTTCTTTAGGAACCGCCTCAAATGTTATTTATAAAAGATCTTTATTTTTATAATCAGTCGGTAGATCCCTATAAAAATGTTTGTAGTCAAAACAATATTCAAAATATGGCTATTGAAAATTGATTCGTTCTTGTTTAGGCAAGTTAAATTTTAGAGATTAGGAAATATTTTTAGTGATAAGTTCTATAATTTTTGTCTTAAATTTGTAAAAATTTAAACGATTACTTTCTTCCACCTTTTCATATTTTTTTCTTCTTTCCTTTTCCGTTGTGGAGAGTCTTGTAAAATATAGGAAAACGTATCACACGACACCCTTAGAATCTTCCTGATTTCTATACCCCATGTGATTTTCTCATAATTTGGTTGTTATTATTATTACTTGACTCAGTGGTTAGATTAGGTTCGACAATTCACTGATGATTTGCAAGTCTTCGATCACTGTTGCTTTTAAAAATATTTCCCAACTTCCGAGTTCGAGAGGTTGCTCACCAATCAAATTTAATATCAGTTTCATCAAGCGCTTTATCGACAATTATCTTATACAATTCGAAAGCCATCTGATGAGTGATGGCCGATATGTCTCTGTGTCCGAATCGTGTTATATAAGACACGACCCTTGATGTAATCAGTGTCGAAATAACATGTTTTAATGTTCCGTATCGTATTGTATGGACAAAGTGAAGTTGTAAGCATTATTTTTTACATTTTAAACAATATACTCGTAACAATGTTTTGGCCGTATCCATTTTGTTGATTTACACCTTTTTGGAGAACACCTGCATATTTTTACTTTGGTACAATAAGCCGAAATGCTACTGTTATTACGGAAAGACGATAGTTTTTCCGTAATAAGATAATACATATTAAATGTGGCATTAGTAATATTCAAAAGTTCTTGCTTGTAAGTAATTTTTGTTTTACTCTGGTAGAGTTATCAAAGTTTGCGCAGTTAGGAAATGTCTACTCTGTATGAATTATTTATTTTATTAATCTATTCATTTCAGGACTTGTGTCCTGAAAATAATTCTGTCATACCCTTTTGCGACACCTCGAATATTACATTTGGAAAATCCGAGACTAATTTCACTCTTTAGTACCTTTGCAGACACAGGATACTACAACCAACTGTTCCTAACACATGCCAATCTGATTCGCATTAAATTTTTTAGTTTTATTTATGTTGTTCTCCCGAGCAAGCCGTGCAAAAAAGCAATAACCTGTGAGGTTCACCAATTTTTATGATGGTTGAATATAAGAAAATGTTTCCTAAGTCTCTGAAGACTATGGTGCCGGACGCGAGTCGTCCGCTTAGAATGCGGCACGCGTTTCTATGGAACTATGACACGGGGGCTGCTTGCTTATAAGGCAATGCACCCAATCTATGGCGGACATATTTATATGTTAATATATTTTGTTATTTTTATACAAAACTCCTCATATAAAATCAGGATGTCACGTTTAAATATATTTCGTGCTTTTGTATCATGACTTCAATTCTGCTAATATGTATTTATCAAACTATATTACGTATATATGTATATAAAAGCTTGTAAATAATCACTAGTTATTACTATTTTAATCTTTCACATGTATCTGTAATTTGTATAAAGATATGATACTTTATATCTTTATATGTAATTGTTATTTAATGTTTATAAAACAATAATAGTGTTCTAATTATTATATTTGATAAATTTTGCATTCACGATGCTATACTGAAAAATATCCTTAATGAAGTGACAAAGTGGATTTTTTAAGCATTTTTCATTAAAAATGATAATAGTTTTCATTTATTTTTGCAGCCAGAGTTAAACCAACTAACTAAACAAAACTCCGTTAAACTATCGAAAACAGTTGAGATTACGTTTCGCTCCACATCACTAGAAAATAGAATCATAGACAATTTCAGATGTGGGTCTAGATTATCTTGGGCGCGATGTCAACGGTGTCGACAATTCATCATGAGCCGCTGTAAACAGATCTTTCATGGTCTGCTTCTTTAAAATAAATAGCAACATTTATATTTAATGATTCACCTTTTCAAAACAAAATGTATTCGTACGTCAAATGCTTCTTGCCGCCATTTTATTACAGAGATATCTTTCACCTTGATTTCACCAATAATGTAGTGTCTAAAAAGGCCGATAAGGTTTTTCAAAGCTTGACTTAAAAACTATCTAGAGTAAACTAGGAACAAGTATAAAATAAATAACGTTTATAGAAAAACAACTTGTGACTATTTAGTGCCATATCTTATGAACACAATTCCACTTGTAATGAAAGAAAAGTTATTTAAGTTTTTTTTTTCTTAATATTCGATTTGATTCAATTCCGTCATTAGTCAATAATCTATGCCCAGCAGTAGGCACATTAATAGGCTGATGAATGATAATTATGAATCATATACTTATCAAAAAAAAAATAGCAGAACTGTTAACTAAAGCTCTGCATCTATTCAACCCTCAAAGATATTTAACTTAAGACTTGGCGTTAGCCTGCACCTAAAAGAAAATCAAAAGACTTAAAATATGACGTGGCTGTATGGATAAAAGTCCTTTGCCTACCCTGAAATGGGAGAAGAAATTAAAAAAAAAAAAAAAGCTCTGCATCTTTTTGGATAAGAATATGTTTCAATTAGTTCCAACAAATTACTAATGAAAAATGAAGTGATAACTACTCGATACTCAATAAGTGGCAAATTGCCTGTCCACCATATATTTAAAATAAATACCAAATTCGTTAATCGTAAAATACTATTAATGAAATAAGTCTTTCACGAAGCTTTTACGACTCGCACGTGATAATTAGGCGATTTCAACTGGAAAGAAATTTTAATGTCAACGGACCACATTAATGTTGCATTAATGTATACAATTCGTCGACGGAAAATAAAAATCTTCAAAATCAGCGTAGAAAGTTTACATTTCATTTATATGTTAGTAAAATAACGATACAACATTATAGTTGCTTATATTTACAATGTTGTTAATTTATGCTTCACCTCGGTGCACTTTAACAGAAAGCGAAAGCACTGAGCTCTTAAATTTTTATTATTCAGTCGAAAATAAAAAAAAAATTATAGGACGTCCACAAAATTAATATTCAGCTCTAATTAAACTTAATCAGGTATAAACATAAATAACTTATTATAAACATAACAATGATGGCCTCGTTTTATATATTAAACTTAGTAGAAATGCGGAATACATAAAACTAGACATTCATAATTGTAATCAGGGAATTAAACTAATTAATAATATAAAAGCTATAAAATGGTTGTAAGGATATTATCATATATAACTACATAAGGAACGATATAGTGTGTAGTAATTTTAGATGGCTTATTAGTAATATTCTATTTTTATATTTTTAAATAAAATGTTGTCTTTATTTTATAGTAAATGAACTATATAGTTTGATTTGTTATGTATTATAATTCAATATATCAATATTTCAAAAGAGATAAAATCTTTAAAGTATTTTGCTATGAAGCCCAGAGGTAACAGTTGATTTTGGATAAAATTATTTGGATTTTGGATGGTCGTCTTCTGAAAAAAAAGTTTGATTAAATCACTACTAATAGGATGGTTATTGGGTAGGACAGGATTGCTGATAGGTTCAGGGTGGGATATTCTTAGTCATATTAACATTTTCCTTAAACCGTGGAATGCACTGTGATTCTGCTTTTATTACTAGTGTGTCCGTAAAAGGCGCGGCTGCTTTCACTCCGCGATGTCTCGACCCACTGTGACTCGGGCCGATATTTAGCACGACGAACGAGACGTTAACAAAAAATTCTTATCTGTGCACCGGCTTTGTTGACAACTGAAATGTGAACAAGTGCTATGGGTACAGTCGATTGTGATCAGTGAAGTTTTGTTAAGAACACTGATATGTTCAATCAAATATAACACTATGATCAGATCATTCTGAACTTCATTTTGACAGATGGCTAAGGGCTTCAGTTACACGGTACTGCTGACCTTAACATATAAAGATCTTTATTGATTATAGATTACATTTTTCGAACTCTTTTCGAACCCAATTAACATTTTCAAGATTACCTTAATTAAAATTTAATTTTTTATCGATTTCAGATTTCACAGTGCTGCGATAAGGAATTCATATAATTACAGTGAGTACACGTTTTCTTCGCATTTATTCACGATAAGGTTTACGTTTAGAATATTAAATTATAAGTATTTTAAGTTAAAATAAACATATAAATATTAAGTGCCTTCAGTTTATTTTAAAAAAAAAACGAGTTAAAGTTATTGGGTGATACATTATAATTGGTAAATATTGGTCCGCGGACCAATTCATTTGTTTTTTCTTTTTGAAATGTTGAACCCTTTGCAGAGATTTCATATTGCAAGCAAATTAATCCGATTCCGGAGACGAAAGAAACAAAATTGACAGATGACATCAGGATTCTGATGATTTAATGTATATTGATTGACGGGGTATATGTTTACAATCTAAAATAATATTAACCAAGAAACGTATGATTATAACATTACTTATAGAAATAAAACATTCATTTGCTCATATACTCGTACAAGGTCATATCTAAAAAAATATTTCTCTACATGATATTAAAGCAATATGTGATTTTTATAGAACACTTTCTTATACAAAATAGTTTTTATTCTGTAAAATTTTACACAAGTCATTCATTGGTGATGCAAGATGTTATGAAGGTGAGTTATGAAAAGATCATCTAGGTAAACAAATTGATCAAAGCCTGTCCGGTGCACTGGTGACGCTCGTAAACAAATTACTTATTCTTTACTTTTGTTAATGGTACTGTAAATGTCGAGTAGAGTTATTAAGTTGTCGTTGTGTCAGCATTGGCGAGGAAAATTATCATAATTGAGTCTCACAATTTTAAATATTTCTTTGCAGTTTTTTAACGTGTAAATTCAAGTATCATATAGTATATAGTCAAGTTCAAGTCACCCAAAATTACATTTTATTTTTACATCATTAAAGGGTACAAAATGGATTGTAAATTTTGTCATACGAGTATATGATAACTGAGTTTTGTGTCTGTGTATCAAAACTAGGTTGTGTATGTACTAAGAATGGGTTGTGTCTTCAGTCGAAAGAACTTAAGGATTCTAATTCTACTAATTTTAAGGGCGGATGGTATACTCTCGCAGTGAGGGTATACCATCCGCCCTTTCACCATCCACCATCCACCTGTAACTTATTAAATATCTACCTATTACATCACGGCGCTCGCAAGAGCGACGAATTATCGTAAACAAAAAAATAAGGTAGATGCTACAAACTCGCGAAAAACTATCATTCTAGTGCAATAGCAAGCTGCAATTTAATTAAGACGCCACGCCATTGAGATGACATTATTACCTTAATATTAGCAGTGTTGCTTTAGTTGTTATTATATATTCAATTTGAATCTTGGATGCTCTAAGAGTTGAATTTAAAATCGACTACAAGAATTTGATATTTTGTGTTGCTTTGTGTACTTAACAATCACAATTCTTATTGTGTTTCTATATAAAAATGAAATGATAAATTTCTCTATTTAGTTATTATAACGGTAGATATTTTTGTTAATTTATTTGCATATTTACTTATTTTTTAAGTGATCACGGTAACTTATGAGTCACGATTCATATTTGTTTACCTAGATGATCTTTTGTTGACTCAATTTCCTTTCAGTTTTTATTACAAGGTCTTTTAATTAAAAATTGTCGTTGCGCTGCAATTAACGTTTGTTTGTTTCCCAAATTACCTTTCAACTTAAATACTGTGCAAATTGGCACTAGCAAATATTCTTTCACCGCGATCGTATATTATATCACAACTTCTACGCTGTAATAAACTTCGAAAACGTGTGAAATGTAAACATGTGAAAGTTTCTGATCTAATGTTGGCACATAACAGAAAATTGTCTATGCATCGGGCGGTTACACGCGCTTTCGTTGTTGGAGTTTCAACGCTTTTGGCAAAAATTTTTCAAAGTTTTTTTTATTTGAAGGCGAAGGACCTATTTAATAATTTCTACCTTTTTGTTTCAATTTCAATGCTTGTTTGATGTTTATAGAGTCAATTCAAATTCAGAAGGAAACTTTACACATATATATAATTCTTTTACTGAGCTTTAGCGAGTCATGCCACTAAAACCATGACACATTTTGTTTGTCACTTTATAATCAAAACGTAGTTTAAGCAAGATTCGCAATTAAACCCTCCTTTATTTCTTAAATATGTTGAATGGTTTTAATTATAATCCTGTTTATTTTTCTACGTACAAACCAATGAGTTTAATAACTAGAGGAGCAATCCCGTACAACAGACGCGCCAAAAAGCGTAGCACTTTTCCGAAATCAGGACGTAGCTTTGCAAATAATATTTATACTATATATTATATATAGATTTATTATATTTGTCTCCCTCATATCTACGATTAAACTTTAAATTAAACAAAGACAGAATATGTGCGAACGGTAAAATGAAAGGAAAAATGGGTAATTGATATTGTATTGCCAGCTGTCGAAAATTTCACCCATTGTGATGAATAAATGAATGAACGAGTAGTGTAGATATATGTATAAAATCAATTAGTAAAATACTGTAACTTTGAGAATTTCTTTGAAAAAAAAAACAATCACGAAAGTAGGCTCTGTGCATATATATCCCTTTGTTTTTCGATAAAGTCAGTGGTTAAGACAAAAACATTTGTCAAAGTTCATAAAACATCAAACAAAGGTTCAATTTTATGTATTTTCAAAAGTTGTATCTCGATAACTAACGAATTCCACGCATTGAAAAAATTAAATCACATTAGCATCTGTGTGTGTGTATAAAAAAATTATCAACACAATTAGCGCAGTTGCCTATACTTAAGCTGAGCTATATAATTAATTATAAAAAGATATTTAGATAAATTATAGCCACGTTAATTAAAAAGAAAAGGTTCCCATATACTTGGGAAAATTGAAAGTGAATAGCAGTGGCAACACTGACGACAAAATGTCGAAATTTTATTTGAAAATAATTAAATATTTTTATTTTATAACCTAGCTTTAATTTTGTATTTATTGCCAAAAATGTTAATGATTTAAGTGTGAAACTTAATATTCTTTCGTATTATGTGTATTTGTGAAAGAGAATCGAATTTTATCTACTGTTTTTCTTTGTTTTTACGGAGCATTTTTTTTGTACTTTCTTGGCGGAAGTTAAATGAGTAATGAAGTGCAAAACGAAAAAACTAAGACAAACGTCTTAGTTTTAGTAGCTTCAGATTTTTGGTATGTATTGCGTATCTAGACATATTAATATCATTGGTACAAACATTTTAAGGCATAAATGGTTTTTCTTTAAACGTTTATTATTATTGTTACGAATGAAATATTCAATATTACTATCGTATATGACCGCACGTTTATACCTTGACATAGTTGAAAAGGTTACATAGAATGAGAAAAAATCCATGGCTTGAAAATAAAAACATCTGTAGTAACAACTAGTGAAGTGTTAAAAACTTTAGTATCTCCCTTATGTTATGTGAATAAGGTTGAAAATTACATTACTCGTGAGAGAACTAGGTGTGTTCAATAGCCGCTTAATTATTAAAGATGTATTTTTGTTAGCTGTGATTCAATACGGATCATTTTTCGTTAATCAATCATTGACCTCCCTATAAACATCAACTCAGACAAGATGATAGTTAAGATTTGTACATATTTATAAGAAAATAATATTAATTATAAACACCGTACACATTTTATACACGTCGGTATTTTTCTATTCATATATATCTTGATATATATCGATTAATATATACATCGAAATATATCAATTGATATTTTTAATATTTATTGTTAGTTTGAGTATTGAGTATTTAGTCTCAGCTAGAAAATTAACCAACCCGATATGACGCTAGTAACATTGACCCGAAGTAGCAATCTTACTTACTAGAAATATCGAATGTTCCCCTATATGTTACTGGAAATCCTCGCTCGCATATTACTTTTTCATTATTTTATAATAAACAAACAAATATTAAATAACTTAAACTCAAAATTTATTTTACACTTTTGATTTAAAAGATCTAATATTAAATAAAACCACTGGCAGCTCAAAAGTCGCAGCTTTTCATATGTAGATATACTCGTATATCGGATAAATATCAAATATCGGATATTTTGATATTTATTATAAATATACGATATTTGCGAAATCTGATTTGATATGTTTGTGGCTTAATACTCTGTTTCTAAGAATTAATTCTGAAATACGGACGTGTAACACATTCTATTTTTATGTAATTTTTTTTTATAATAACAAATAATTGAATAGCTCGATGGGGTAGTGGATAAACGCCGCGGCCCGCGATTGTTGCTGTTAAGCTACTTTCGCAAAGGTCGGTCACGGGATGGGTGACTAAAAATTATTATTCATAGCAACTTCGTGCTTTGAACTTCAAGCCATTGGTCCGGGCTGCATTTATAAACATGGCACGAGCTCCTACAATGGGGACTTAGAAGAGCTGATGATAATGAACAAATAATCATATATTTGTTATAAGGTTTTATTGTATTGAGATTAGGTATCTTATTATATTGATTTATAGTCAAAAATATAGTATTTTTTTGACATTAGAAATAATCTACCTAGTGTTTAACTTTCATTTTTAAATTATGTTTATTAAATAGGGTAACTCGACGATCACCCATCCTTCAACCGGCCCTTACGAAATTCGCCTAACTTCCAGAATCGCAGACCGAACGCGGTAACCGCTACTCCATCGAACTTCTCAAAAGAATCAAACCTACATTAAATTGAGTTGAGCAAGGTAAAGTTAAAAACATTTGCTTTTCTTATCAACTGGATTAAAAAAAGATAATGTGAGTAAATAAACCTCTTTGATATAGTACTCGATCAACTTTACTGCCAACCTAAGCAAAGTGTTAACAATATATAGTTTTAAAGGTGAAAATAATAAAATAAAAAGTTTTTTCCGAGCACAAAATAAGCGATTAACTTGGTTGTCCATTTGGATACTGTCGCGACACTTCAAGCGTATAAATGGTAATTGTCAAATAAATATGGCATTAAAATTCATTTAAAACTAGCTGTAAATGTTCTAAGTTCTTACTATTA